TTTCTTTGGGGTCTTTTTACCCTAACTGCCTAGCCAATTCCTACCTCCTATTCTTATCACACCATCCTCTGAAGAGGTTACCCAGCTTGTGGATAGGGAATCGGGACTCAGACCGCTCTGGCTTCTTCCATGCTGAACAGGGACACAGGGTGAGGCAATTGGGGTACCCCTTCAGTGGGTCTATCTAAAAGACTCCCAAATTGCATAACTCTTATCTGTAGGGAGAAAAGAAAGTCCTTGACTGGTAAACAGGAGACATGAAGAAGTAGAGGCAAGAGTAGTTGGCATTACAAGTTCTAGACAGGAAACCAGAAAAAAGTCAGAACTGAGCAAATTTCAAATGTTCCTATCAGAGTCCATTGGGATTTTTTGACAAGAGATTCCAAAAGCATCCCTCTAATTTGTTCCTCCTCATTTTTTCTTTTGTCTGCCAAGGCTGGACTCAGGACTGAGTGATGGACTCAGGATTTGTTTTCAGGCAATTTGATAGTTGTTGGAGTGGCTAGAATCAGTGTCAGTTCCCTCTCAAAGCTTCTAGATAGGGGGAGAAAACAAATTTATCCATCATTTTAGAACACTAGCGGGTTGTCTCCCTTAGCTACAGGTGGGCACTACAGTATTGGAGACCAAGATTTGAAGTCTTACATCTGAGCAGCACTTTCTGATTCAGAACAAAATCATCAATGAGAAATAATTGTCTAAATAACTTTTCATATAGACTTAACCCTAATGTCTGAAAAGTGTAATCCCCTGAACTCTTAAAGAAATATACTGATCATTTTACTCTTTGGTTATACTTTCCTTTTGGGTGTTTAAGACCATACAGTTGGCCCAAATAAACCAATTTATTTTTACTCTTAAGGTCATTTGAGGATCTGTTCCTCAGGGGTCACATGAGCTTGGGAGGAGCTCCTGGCTCCTTTCTTTCACCAGTTCGATCTATGTGAAGATAAGTCAAAGGTCCTGCTCAACCACAGCTGGCTTCACTTGGAAGCATGGAGGAAATGTTTCTTCTGAGTTGACCCTCCTCTTTGTAGACTGGACACTGGTTCAAGCCCATCTGGTGGGGTCTCCATGGCCTCTCTGAACAGGACAGGTGACTCACCACAGTCACAGGACATTTTGAGAGATGCTCCATAGTCCCCTGGAACTTAGTCTACCTTGGAGGGCAAGGAGCAAAAAACCCTCTTTTAAGTCCCTCTGACCAGATTAGTATAGGCCTCAAAGCATGGCTGTTAAACATCCAAGAAGGTTAGTTCCACCAGTCTGGTACCTTTAATTACTGTGTGCTATGTAGATAACACTTGGGCAAAAACAAATGTTCTCAGATAAACCTTGACTAGACATATATTTTTTTCCTTAAACAAGTTGACTAAACTATAACCTTAGAAATTTTAAGGTTATGTGTATATGATTTTTGTCTCATCCTTTATAACATAACAAACCTACACAGACCTTCATCACTTGCGTTCTTTATGTGGGTCTGTCTGTCCATCCCTCACTCAGACTTCCTCTTTGCTCAAGACTGGGCCATGAACTTCTCTGGGACATGAGGAAACAGTTTCCTTTCTCACAGAATCACCAATGTGGGAGGGAGGGAAGAAGACAGAGAGGGAGGGCTAACTTCTGTCTGCTCGGGAGCCTTAGAACAGCCAAAATCCTCAGCTGAGAATTAAACCTTAGGCAGACCAAATGCCAACATGTCTCAACACATGCACGATATCACAGGCAGGCTGGGGACCCCACACCAGCCTGTGCTGGCCTCCAGCTATGCTTAAACAAATCATACTGTCTGAAGAATTCTCATTTGACACATGACCGAGTTTGGGAGGTGTTTTGGAATGTTGAGGCCTCTGGGCTCCTCCTTGGGGTGCCATGTCCTCTTCTCACATAGGGTAAACACACCAGCACAACAGTATCCCTGGGCGTTTGTGAACCAGGGGTGGGTAGGACGTCACTGGCAGGCTGGAGACCCCTTTTCTAAGCCTACTTCTAGCATGGAGAGTAGAACTTGGCTTATGCACAAACAGAAATCATGGGTTTTGATCTCTGGAAGCAACTGCACTGATGTTCGAATACTCACTGTCGGAGACACAAACACTTTGGACCACGATCCCTCCAGGGTTCTCTGAACAGCACCCTCTGTCCTCTCCTGACAACAGACACCCTTCCCCCTTGCAGGAGCTGCACCCTGTGGTGTCAAGGATCAGTGACATCTCCCCCCCCCCACCCCAGTGAATCCCACTATTGTCTCAGCGGCAGAATAGGTGGCTTTCCTTACCTTTCCCTTCGGTCCCCATTCTCTCCTCTTTAGCATCTGGGGAGGCTCCTCAAGGAGGTGATGCAGGCAGGCTGTGGCCAAGCCAGTCCTTCCCAAAGTCCTTCCTGACTGCAGCAAGCCCACTTGGCCACAGGGAGGACTGGTCCCATTCCTACCCCCTGACCCATCCTCCAGAGATACCCAGGCTTCCCTCACTGGCCTGACCGGGGGCTCAGCAGCCTAAGTAAGCCAGCCTGTAAACCCTACGGCAGGGTCCTCCCTGACCCTGACTCTTCTTGTAGTGACAGTGATGAACAAGACAGCACCATGGACGACAACACAGCTCTCCTGCACTTCCACCTCAAATATGAAGCAGATGTCCTCTTCACCAGGTGGGCCAGCTCTGCAGCCCAGGGAGGGAGGCAGGAGAGGTACAAAGAGGGCCTGATATGGAGCTAGACCCTGCACTGAGGGGCTCTGGGGTGGAGCCAGGTATGTCTCTATTGGGTCCCAGCACAGTTCTGCATCCATTCCAGGCAAGGTGTCAGACTAGAGGAAGGACAACCAGGCCTGACACGCCCTCCCTACCCCAATAACCAGCAGGGACAAGGCAGAGTGAGCAGGAGGAGGTATCCAGCACATACTTAAGCGAGGCACTGTGTGCAGAGAAGTAAGAGAATGGCAAAAACCTCTTAAGTCTATCTGGGGCTGGAGAGATGGCTCAGCAGTTAAGAGCACTGGCTACTGTTCCAGAGGACCCAAGTTTAGTTCCCACACCCACATCAGGTGGCTCACAATCACCTGCAACTCCAGCTCCAGGGGTTCCACACCCTCTCCTAGCCTCTGCGGGTACCTGCGCACATGTGCACATGTATAACATATACACATAAATGCAAATAAGTATTTTAAGTCAATCTGGAGGTCCAGGAAGACAGCTCAGTGGGCAAAGCACTTGTCTCACAGGCCTGACAACCTGAGTTCAAATACTCTGAACCTGCCTAAAATGTCAGATGTGGTGGCACATATCTGTAGTCTGTAATCTTAAGGGAGATAGGAAGTAGAAACAGGAGAATCACCCAGAAGCTTGCAAACTAGCTAGTCTAGGATACACAAACAGACCTTGACTCCTATCCCAGTTACTTGTTCATCTGGCCAGCACTGACTCTCCCTACATGGCCCTGCCTTTGTCTCTGCAGGAGCAGCAGCCTAAGCCACTATGAGGTCAAGGCCAACAGCTCCTTAGAGAGATATGATGGCACTGGGCCTCCCTTCAACTGTGTTTTCAAGGTAAGGCTGAAGGGCAGCTGGGAGGTAAGTGAAGGGCAGGGGCTGGGAGCTACCACCCTCTACCCCCCAGTTGGAGGGGAAGAGTCTGGAATCAATGCCAGGGCCTGAAGCCCAGCCTCAACCTTGCCACCCATTCGCTGTGTGACTTATAGAAAGTTATTTGCCCTCTCTGGGATTTCCTCTCATCTGAATGACACCCAGGCTGGATTGATGGGCATGTATCAGAGTGTGCCTACAAATTTTGAAATACTAAAAAAACAGTAGTTGGAAAACAAAAGTTTACTTTCCCCCACAAAAGAGGCCCAGCATTGATGGCTTTTCAGAGTCATCCAGGATTGAAAGGCTGGGAAATCCAGCTACATCCCAGATAATCAGCTTCAACTTCATCTCACAGCCCAAGATGGCTGCAGCTCCATAAATCAGCCTCTCAGCCCAGCCTGTAGGAAAGAGGAGAAAAACTTGTCCCTTCCTGGCTAAAAAGCTTCCTGGTTATCCCTCACACTTGTGGTTACCTCTTATTGTCTGTAACATTGTGATTTAGCTGTGCGGGAGGCTGGGATGTGTGGCTTTTTGTCTTGATTCTGTCACACGAATGTGTGCCTTAGCAGCCTCTGCTGCAGAGGACCCCTCAATCTCTCCCTCCCCTGAAATGCGTTTGTCAGCTTCTGCTACAGCTGTGTGAGGGCAGGGGCAGGCTGACAGCTGAAACAGGACTGTAGATACCCCAAGACCCATATGGCTTGTGTTGCCCAAAGCCACACACCAGCCTCCCAAAGTCCAGCTGAGTGTGTTCCATCCAGATAGACTAACACATACTCAGTTTGATAGCCTTCCCTGATTAGTGACCACATATATATCAGTGGCTGCCACCATCTTCACTCCTGAACTCTACAAACCTCTTCCCCATAGCCAAGAGGACTGGATGGTGGTCCTCACCCTCCAGGTTCAGGCCCCACTGGTGCATCGAAGTATCATGGAGCCCCCGCTTATTAACTCTCATTGACTGTCCTCTATGCACCCAGCCACAATGTGGCAAGGCTTTGCAATTTTCATGGTGCAAACCTTCTGGGCCTGCATGAGTTTGTCCCTGGGTCTGGCTGGTCCCTGTGGGCCCCCTTGCTGTCTCCATTCCTCAATTGTTGCTCATATGGACTCCCCTCCTGCCACAGGTGCAGAATCTGGGCTTTTTTCCTATCCATGGAGTGATGATGAAGATCACCGTGCCCATTGCCACCCGGGGTGGCAACCGTCTGCTGATGTTGAGGGAATTCTTCACTGACCAGGTACCAGTGCTCTGAGGGCCGGCTCCGGCAGAGAACAGAAAGAAACAGACACACTCCTAGGCATGTCCCTGCTGTCTGGGCCTAGCTCCCTTCTCCAGGATCCTGGGCACTAGGCCTTCTGGGAGGAGGAGAAAAGCACATACCTGGGAGCTGGTGGTGAGGCTTAGTGTGTGCATGCATGTATTTCCTCTACACAGGTCAACACGTCCTGTAACATCTGGGGGAACAGCACTGAGTACCGGGTCACCCCAACAGAGGAAGACTTGAGTCGTGCCCAACAGCTGGTACGTATCACCAAACCAAGAGCCAGGGGAAAGGGTTAGAGTGCCTCCGCATTCCTGGCCAAGTATGTACCAATAGGAGTTTCCTGAGGGCCAGCAAGATGGCTCAGGGGTGCCTGCTGCCTAGCCTGATAGATTGAGTAGAATCCCCAGACCCTACATGTGAAAGAAAAAAACAGTTCCCACAACTGTCTCCTGACCTCCACACAAGTGAGCGAGCATGTGTGCGCACGTGCGCACACGCACACGCACACACACACACACACACACACATTCAGTTAAAAATGTAATTAAAAATTAGTTTCTTGATCTGGAATTGGGAAGAGGAGGGGGTGTGGGAGGGGGAGAGGGACAAGAGAGTAACAGGGGGTGAATATGACCAAAATACTTTATGTACAGGTATGAAACTGTCATAATGAAACTCATTCTTATGTATGATTAAGATATGCTAATAAAAAGAACTGAAAAACAAGAGTTTAGGGACTGGAGAAACGGCTCAGTAGTTCAGAGCACTTGCTGCTATGGCAGGGGACCTGAGTTTGGGTCCCAGCACCCACATGGTAGCCTACAATGACCTGTAACTCCAGTTCCAATGATTCCAATGGCCTCTTCTGGCCTCCAACAGCACCAAGTATGCATTTGGAGCACTTACATACATGTAGGCAAAACACATATAAATATAAACCTTTTTAAATATTTTATTTATTATCTTCATTCTACATGTATGAGTGTATTGCCTGCATGTATGTAAGTGCACCTGTGTCATGCAATGCCATAGAGGTCAGAAGAGGGCTTCAGATACCCCTGGAACTGGAGCCAAGGACGGTTCGTAACTGCCATGTGGGTGCTGGGAATCGAACCCAGGTCCTCTGCGAGAGCAGCCAGTGCTCTTACCCAATGAGCAAAAGTAAAAATAAAAGCCAGGCACATCAGTATACATCTATAATCCAAGCACTTGAGAGGCAGAGGCAGGCAGATCTCTGTGAGATCAAGACCAGCCTGGACTATGTAGTCAGTTCCAGGCCTGCTGGGGATACAGGGAGATCCTGTCTCAAGAGAAAAATAAATAAATAAAGAGACACTTTTGAAGTCTTCTACATTTGACCAATGATTTGGCCTTTGGCAGAGTTGGGATAGGCAGCAGCACCACCTCACTTCACAAATGACTTTAATAAATTCTAATTGGTGGAAGACAAAGATTTGTTTGAATTTTGCATCTATTACTTTTTCCATTCAATCCTTATTAATTGCTTTTCTTGTCATATTACTCTGGTTTGTATCGCCAGGGCAGTGAGAACCAAAGTGATGGCAAGATTGTCAGAACTGTCTTCGTTCTATTTTAGAAGAATATGATACTTACTCTATGTATATATGCGTGCAAATGTAGAGGGGGAGGGAAGGAGATAGAGGAGAGAGGGGAGGGGGGAGAGGGGGGAGAGAGAGAGAGAGAGAGAGAGAGAGAGAGAGGAGAGAGAGAGGGAGAGAGAGAGAGAGAGAGGGAGAGAGAGAGAGAGAGAGTCAAGAAGTTCTCTGGGGACTGGAGAGACGGAGAGATGGCTCAGCTGTTAAGAGCACTGGCTGTTCTTGCAGAGGACTGAAGTTCACTTTCACAGCACCCACACAGCAGCTAACAATTGTCTATAACTCCAGTTCCAAGGGATCTGACACCCTCTTCCAACCTCCATGGGCATTGCATGACACAGATGCACTTAAATGCAGGCAATACATTCATACACATAAAATAATAAATAAAATATTTTAAAGTTCTCTGAAAGTTTATATCATGAAATTTAATTTCCTAAAATACTTTCCTGCCTCTTTTACAATAATTATATCCTTCATCTTCTAACCTGTTTATATGGTAATGACACTAATTTCTTAATGTTGAACTAAAGTTCTGTTCCTAGAACATCCCCACGCTGGTCATTATGTACAACTTCAAAGGGAACTTCAGATACAGCATCCTCAGTTTGTCTTCCAGTTGTCCCTTGTGTTCCCACACACCTCTATCCTTAGCCCCGTTGCCTTTCTGCCTCCCTCCCCTAATTGATCCAGTCTTGGGGCTGACCCATCTGTCTGGTGGCCCAAGTTCCTGCTCACATTCCAAGGCACAGTCCAGGTGTAGTGGTGCATGCCTTTAATCCTAGCACTCAGGAAGCAGAGGCAGGTTTATTCCTGAGTTTGAGGCCAGCCTACCTACATGTCAAGTTCCAGGCCAGCTAAGGCTACATAAATAAAGGCCTGTCTCAAAAAACAACCAAAAACATTCCAAGTCACAGTCAGGCTTACTGCCACCCCTGTCCCCACACCCCTGTGTTCGTCTCTCTTCCAGAATCACAGCAACTCTGATGTGGTCTCCATCAGCTGTAACCTCAAGCTGGTCCCCAACCAGGAAATCAGCTTTTACCTGACAGGGAACCTTTGGCTGAGGTCCCTAAAAGCAGTAAGTAGAATGCCTGTAGGCTGGGAAAAGGGGGATGGGGTACTTTGGGGAGTCTCCCACCTGGGACTTGCCTGGGAGAGTCAGGAACAGAAGCTTCTAGAACCACCTCTGAGGAGGTCCCTGGTTGTACAGCTCAAGTTCAGATCCATGAAGATCACAGTCATCGCAGCCTTGCAGCGGCAATTCCACAGCCCCTTCATCTTCCGAGAAGAGGACCCCAGTCGCCAGGTGAGCCCCTGGGAGACTTACCCTCCCCATGTTCCAACAGGAAGGAGAGGAACAGGCAGACTGAGAAGGAGGGAAGTCAGGTGGGAGCTGGGGAGAGAGCTTAGTCAGTAAAGTGCTTGCTGTGCAAGCATAAGGACATGAACTCAATCCTCAGAACCCACACAAAAAAGCCAGTCCTAATAGTTTATAATTCCAGCACTGGGGAAGTGGAGACAGACACCTTGGAGCTTGCTAGCTTAGCCTACTTGGTGAGCTCCAGGGCAGTGAGAGACCCTATCTTAAAAAGCACAGTCAGGCTGATGGCACCTGAAGAATGATATCTGAGGTGACCTCTGACTTCCACATGCGCACACATATGCATGCCAGTTGAATAGATTTTTGGGGCAAGACTGGAGAAGAGGCAGACACAATGCCTTGGGGTGCTGGGCTGTGTGTTCTCGGCTATGGGAGAGGACAAAGGGGCATCTTGTGTATTTTACACTAGAGGAAGGTGAGACTGGACACCCACACCCATGTACTAATGTGGCTTGCTAACTGGCTGCCCAATAGGGCTGTCTTGGGCAGGCTAGCCATGTGGACTGAGCATCTCACCCTCTTCTCTGCTCCCCTGAAGCCTCAACTCCAATGAAGTACAAGCAGCGTGGAGAAGGCCATGGGTTGTGAGATGTCTCAGGGCTGAGGCTCCTTTTTAGCTAGATAAACCCAGGTCTGTCCCGATCGCCTTCACTTCAGGGTGGAGGAAAGGCTCTGGTAGGTAGATACTGTCCTGAACAAGGACACACTGAGTCTTGGAGAAAAACTGGGTCCTGTAGAAACAGATAGGGTAACTGGGCATGGGACTCTGCTGCCCCCCACTGGCCTCATCTCAGAAATGCTGGCCTGGGCTATAGGCTAGCATCCCTCTCTCACCCCAGGAGATCCTTAACAAAGGGAAGCCAGCCTTTACAAAGGGAAACCACAAGGGTCAGTCTCAATAAGGTGGGGCCTGCCAGGTGAAGGGGCAGCAGTTGCCAAAGCCCAGAAGCTCCATTCAGGGACCTGCCTAAGAAACAGGGAGGAGAAGCCACATCCTGGTGGCTTGACCCAGGGCTGGGGCTCTGGTCTGAGCCCTGTAGTCCCTGCCACATCATCCACTCTGTGGGAGCTGGCACACATCCAGTCTCCTTTATATTCATGGGTTCATTCATTCTGCATTTGATGGGTGTCCCTCTTGCCACTCAGGCTAAACAGCTGACTCAGAGATGACTTAGGTGAACAAGAGCACAGTAGCAATCAAGTGTGGATTCAGATGGGGGACACAAAGGCACTGAGGGGAGGAGTGGGTCAGAGAATGTCCAGGGAGACCTTTTTGGAGACAGGCCCTTTGAAGTAATCTTGAAACACATATGTCAGTTTTCCAAGCATCTGGGAGGGAGGTGTGGAACAGGCAGCACAGATCATGCTTCTCCTCACATTTAGTGGGTATCTTTCAGGCAAATTCTCTTCCCATCCCAGCACACCCTGTCTAGGTGCCTTATCTGTGGAAAGCCAGCAACCCCATGTGAGGTCATGTAGTATACTGGGCTCAGTTAGATCCAAAGGGCTTAGAATGCAGCCTACAAGGATAGAAAGAAAACACATACCTCACACCTGAGGCCCATCATGGCCCTACCTGTTCCAGATGTAGAAACTGAGGCAGTGTGAGGTCAGGCCTGGGGAAGAATTGACCTGCCTTGAGTTGGATAGTGGGTGTGGTAAGCACTTCACTCATCCAGGCTCCAAGACCGAGCAGCGGACAAAGCCAAGAAAACTAGGGAGATGCCTCAGTTGGGGATCCAAGGTTCAGATCCCATGTTCATGATCATGTAACCTCAGTGCTGAGAAAGCAGAGACAAAAGTCCCTGAGCTTGCTGGCCAGCCAGTGTAGCCAAATTGGCAAGATGAAGGTTCAATGAGAGATAGGGTGTCAAAAAATACAGTGGTGGGTTAGAGAGATGGCTCAGAGGCTAAGAGCACTGACTGCTCTTGCAGAGGACCCAGGTTCAGTTCTCAGCACACACATCATGGCTAACAACTGTCCATAACTCTGGTTCCAGAGGATCCAACATCCTTTTGGCCTCAGTGGGCACTGCATGAACATGGTACACTTACATACATGCAGTTGAAACATTCATACACATAAATTAAAAATAAATATATCTTTTTAAATATGGTGATGATGCCCTGTGTGGTGGCACACACTTTCAATACCAACACTCAGGAGACAGAGACAGAAAGATCTCTGTGAGATGAAAGTCAGCCTGATCTATATAGTGAGTTCCAGGCCAGCTGGAGCTACAGGGAGACCTTGTCTCAAAAGCAAAAACACAAAGAAACAGGGACTGGAGAGATGGCTCAGCAGTTAAGAGCACAGAGGACCCAGGTTCGATTCCCAGCACCCACATAGCTACAAACAACTGTCTGTAACTCCAGTTTCAGGGGATCTGATGCCTTCTTCTGTCCTCCATGGGCATTGCATGACACAGGTGCACTCACGTACATGCAGGCATAACACTTGTACACATAAAATAAAAATAATAAGTAAAATTTTGTTAAAACCTGGTGATAGAGGGCTAGAGAGATGGCTCAGCGGTTAAGAACACTGACTGTTCTTGCAGAAGACCAGGGTTCAAATCCCAGCACCCACATGGCAGCTAACAACTGTCTGTAACTCCAGTTCTAGGGGATCCAACAGCCTCTTCTGTCTTTCGAGGCCATTGCATGACACGGGTGCACTTACCTACATGCAGGCAATACACGCATACACATAAAATAAAAATAATAAAAATAAAATATTTTTTAAAACCTGGGGTTGGGGTGTAGCTCAATGGTAGAATGCTTGCCTAGCAATCAAAAAGTCCTGGGTTCGATCTCCAGCACCGCATCTCCCAAAGAAAACTTGGTGATAGAGAGCAACTGAGGAAGGTACTTGGTGTCAACCTCTGCCCTACACACACAGACACACACACACACACACACACACACACACACACTAATTTTTTTTAAGTAGCTCAAAGTTTGGGGGTAGAAAGATGGCTCAGCAGTTAAGAGCACTGGCTCCTCATACAAAGGACTTGAGTTGGGTTCCCAGCACCCACTTGATGGCCACAAGATGGTCTGTAATTCCAGTTCCTGGGGAACCAATGCCCTCTTCTGGCCTCTGTGGGCACTGCATGCACGTGGCACACATACATACAAGCAGGCAAAACACTCATAAGTATAAAATAAAAAAATAATTTTTAAAAATAGTTCAAGGTAATCCTTGGCTACGTAGCAAGTTTGAAGTCAGCCTGACTCTGTCTCCAAAAAGGAAAAAGAAAAACAGTTGAAACGGCTTCCCAAGCCCTCAAAGTGCCGTGGGCCTAGGCTCTATGCTGTGCCCTCCACATATCCCTGAGTTCAGTGACCCTGAGGCTCAGGGACTACACCAAACAGATCAACACTGAGATGTTTGGCAGAGAGAAGGAAGCATCAAGGAGGACTGAAAAAGAGTAGCCCGTGGGAGGCAGAGGGAATTCGGGGGATCAGGTGGCTAACGCCAAAGGCAGCATGTACAGGAGCAGCACTTCCTGGTCACCATGTCAGATGTCCAATTAGGCAGAGCTGGCTGTTTCAAAGCCTTGGCCAGCTGTCTCTGTTCTATCTGCCAATGGAAGAGTTGCAACTCCCCACTACAGGCATATCATCTCCTGCCCAGGCAATCACCCAAGTCCCATAGTAGTGATGATGATGTCCTTGCCCACCTCCCTTTGCAGGTCATGTTTGAGATCTCCAAGCAGGAAGACTGGCAGGTCCCCATATGGATCATCGTGGGCAGTACACTGGGAGGCCTCCTGCTGCTGGCCCTACTGGTCCTGGCGCTGTGGAAGGTGAGGCTCCCAAAGGTAGGGACAGGGGTAGCATCCCTGTCTGAGCCTCAGGGTTCTAGGCCCTGTGGTCACTGCTACATTCTCCAGTCTGTGGAAGCTGGTACTGCCCAGATCCCCTCATTGCTTGCCTACCCCCTAGTACCAAGCCTGTCCTGCAGCAGGCAGAGTGGTCAGGGCCAGCAGAGACCACCCAAACTGTGGTCCCAGCCTTGCCTGGGAGCCTTTGAGAATCCAATGGAAACTATAATTCCTCTTACAAGGAAAAAAAAATTAGCAAATATAACTACACAAAACTCCAACAATGTCAGTCTCTTAACAAGTCCAACAAACCCCCCATCTTTGAACTTCTGGTTAAGAAGTCTGCGGTCAACCTTCCTCTGCTGTAGACGAAGTGAGGTATGCCAGAGAAGGGTGTCAGCTGAGGCTGTTATACAGCACGACTCTTGCCTCCTGCTCAGGGTTCCATCCATCTGTGTCCAGTCCACAGAGGGAGTTTGAGAGTAGAGGTACTCAAGATGAGCTGGGGGCGTTTAAGGAAGCCCTCTGAGGGAGGAAACCTGAGAGGGCTAGTGGACAAACAGCAGGTGATGCAGGCATTGCCCACCCTGAGACTGTCCCCCTCTGTCTTCCCACAGCTCGGTTTCTTTAAAAGTGCTAAGCGCAAGAGGGAGCCTGGCCTGGGCCCCATCCCCAAAGAACTGGAGTGAGGATGTGGAGGAGGCTTCAAGTTGATGGGGGTCAGAGACCAGTCCAGGGGTGTGCAGGCCCAAGCCTGTGGTCCCCACTGAGCTGGAGCGGAGAGGACACCCACTGGCTTTGCATTGATCTCATCTCTGGAGCGGTAGCCCCTGACCCCTATGGGATGGACCTCAAGCACGTGTTAGGAGGAGCCTCTCTACCAGAACACTGGGACACCTCCAGGATAGCCCTACGGATTTAAAGGGACCCCTCCAAGGCCCACCCTGAGGCCTCCCCCAGGCTCTGTGGAGACCATCCACTGCCCCAGACACTAAGGTGCTAGGACTTTTGTTATTATGCCCACCTCTGAAGAAACCCAGGGAGGAACCTGGCAAATACAAGCCCACTGTGCATACTTCATCTGGACCTCTGGTTCCAGGACCCTGCAGCCCAGCAGTCCCGAATTCTACAGCATACCCTCCCACCTCTCACCCCTGAGCTTGGCTCCCCAAGCCACAGCCACCCCTTCCCCACAGACAATCCCCCAAGTTCTCCATGAATGAACCTGAGCTGTGAGGCTTGAAGGTGACAGCTTGCAGACCAGGCATGAAGACAAATGGACTGAGAGACTGTGCAGATGGGCAGGTGGGACATAGGATGCTGGACACCACCCAGATATCAGAAGGCAGCTGAGCTCTCCACCAGGGTCCCACTAACCACCACCCACACACTCCCCTGCCTACTCTCCTGCTTCCCCAACTCAGCTGCAGTCCCTCCCAACTGCCTCCTAGGTACCTCATGGGGTGTAGAAGATGTAAGCCCTTGGGTTCCCCATACCCACTTGTCTCCCTGCTGCATCCCTGGCACAGATGCATTGGCCTGGCTGCAGTCTGGGAACAGGATTAGAGGTGGGAAGCCTTCACTTCTTGCATCAGCTCCCCTACACACACACACACACACACACACACACACAACTACACACATACACACACACCCTCTCCCTCCCTTCTGCCCACCAGTGTGTGGGAGAAGAGCTCCAGGGGGTGCACTGTGGAGGTGCCCTCTCTGGTGTGCACTGAACAAAGCCTGTGCAAAGCCCCTCAGAACCTTACAGCCTCGGTGGCAGATAGCTATCTCATCTGCCAGCCCTCGGGTCAAGTGCGATGCCCAACAGTGGCACAAAAGGACAACGGGCATGCTGGTGCCCAGCAGAGTAATTTATGCCTTATCCTTTTTGTTGAGACAGAGATGAATGGATACATCAAAGGCATCCGTTCCCCTGTGCATGGTATGACCTTTACTGTCAGAAATATTTTTAAGAAATGTTTTTAAAGGGTTTAAAAACAACCAATAACCGACATACCATTGTATGAAGAAGCAAAGGCACACTCTGCTTTGAAGAGGGAAGCAGAGGAGGGCTCCTGCTTGTATCTAAATGTTGGGGACAGTCTTGTCCACTGTACGACCATCTCCTCCCAGGGGCTACCTGGCCTCACTCACTGACATCTCTAGTGGTGGAACACTGTTTCCCTTCCCCCACCACCATCACCCACCCAATCTCAGGTTAGGTGGATGACTAGAGCCCAATGTGTCATTGTGGCCCCTGCCCCTGAGCTCTCCAGCTCTCCCCTCACAAGCTCCCAGACCCTCCAGGCTGGGACTTGAGAGTCGACCCTCACACACATTGACTTGTGTTTCCTCACACAGGCTGCTCTTGAACCAAGCAATCTCTATTCTATTCTTGTGCCATTCACCTCCTGGGTTACCAAGTAACTAAAAAGCATTTGATTTGTTTAAAGATTGGTGGGGGGGTAGCTGAGACAAGGTCTCCCTGTAGCCCCAACTGACCTGGAACTCACTGTGTAGACCAGGCTGGCCTCAGTCTCACAAAGATCCACCTGTCTTTGCCTCCTGAGTGCTGGGATTAAAGGCGTGCACCACCACCACGCCTGGCTAAGATTTATTTTTTTATTTATGTGTATGTGTGTATATGTTCTTGCATACACACATGCAAACATGAGCACATGCTCTGGTACCCAAAGCCAGAAGCGGGAATAGGAGCCCTTCTCCACAGTAAAAATCAAGATTCAACCCAGGAGTGCCCTCTCCCCAGCTTCAGGAGAGCTAAATGAGGGCCGACTGTGAAATGATTAAATGAAACCCTAAACTCAAAAGCCCTTCTCTCCTAACAGAATCATGTCAGTGGTCACCCTTATGAATGGGGTCACTGGTGAAAAGAGAATGAACCCACCCTCTAAAGTGTGTCATTTGAATTGGTGGCATGTCTTCTTTCAAACACTGTCAGATCTGAGAATTCGGTCTTGAAAAACCTGATTTGCACAGGTTGGCATTCATCCTTTTGAAAGGTCAGCTGTGACCACTGTGCAGGCCAAATGGTTGCTCAATTGCAACCTCTGAACTCAGAGGCAGTCAGTCTTAGCCCCAGGACTCCCATCCCTCCTACCTACACCAGATGATCTAAATAGCCAACAAGGTAGAGGAACCAGGCAGCTTGTACTTTCACAGCCTTCTGCCCTATACTCTGTCTCTCCTTTTTAATTCTCCCTTTCTGAATCTATTTACTTTTAAGTAGGAATGTCCAGGGCTGATCATAACAGTGCCTGGAAGGGCAAACAGAAAAGATGCACTTTAGAAGGAGCAAAGCCTCATCTGGGTGCTTTAAACAATAGGGAAGTAAGGGCACTGTGCCCTAGAGATGCCCATCCAACAGCTGGCAAAGGTGCCAGATATCACTTGTTTATTGAAGCCTCTACAAGTGGCTTGTGCTTAGTTGAGCTCAGCAGGCAAGTGAAGATACAGGCAGTGAAGCAATGGGGGATAGGGTGACTTTCTATGATAAATACAGAATTGTGCTGTCATGGTCACCACGGTCAAGTTAATCCACCTCCAACCTAGAGTCTGGAAAGCCTTTTGGTTACAGTAAGTCTCCAGGGTGGGATTTGTGATAGATTTCACTCAGTTTCCCAAGGTCCTGAGAAGCCCAGGGATACTCTGGGAGAAGCTGGGTACATTTGCTATGACTGGAGGATGAGCTAACAACTGTCCATACTTCCAGTTCCAGGGGATCTGACAGCCTCCTCTGTTCTCTGCAGGCATTGCACAACATGGGTGCATTTACCTACATGCAGGCAAAACATGCATACACATAAGATAAAAATAATAAAACATTTTTTTTAAAAAAAAGAGTATTTGTGTCCAACCTGAACCACTCTAAACAATATGTGTTCAGGGCTACAGAGATAGCTCAGCCGTTAAGAGCAGGCACTGCTCTTGCAGTGTTCGATTTCCAGCACCCATTTCAGGCAGCTCCAACCACCTGTAATGCCAACTCTGGGAATCTGACACCCTCTTATGGCTTCTGTGGGCACCTGCATGCACATGCACATACAGAGGCACATACACATAAATAAAAATAAGTATGATGTGTTTGCAGTAAAATGAAATGTCTGGGAAAAGCTTGACCTCTACATCAAATTGCAGGCAGAAGAGAGCTATAGAATCTGTTCCACAGACTGTCAGGATTCCCAAAATCTCAGCTTCCAATCTAGTAAAAATGACAGAGCTCCAAGTACTTGTGGAAGGAGATGGGCAAGATGTCCCAGGGGTTTGTGTACCCTGCCCTCTCAGAGATTTGGTGGTGTACACCTGTAGTCCCAGCACTTGGGAGCAAGAGGCAGGCGGATCTCTGTGAGTTTAAGGCTAACCTGGTCTACATAGTGAGCTTCAGACCAACTGGGGCTACAGGGAGACTGTTTCAAAAGCCATAAAAAAAAAATCCAGAGATTTGGAAGCTGAGGGGGCAGCCCCAGATGGGCTTGGCAGAGGCTTCTATAGTGTTGGGGGGGTGGGTGTATCTGGGCACCCCTCAGCTCTGGCCAGCTGAAGGTTAAAAAGGTAAAACCTTTTCCAGAAGTGTTGGAACCCTTCTCCATGGCAAATCAAGACTCAATCCAGGAGTTCCATCCTCCCAGCTGCTTCCTGGCATTAGATGGTGAAGGCACATGGACTCAGAGGGCAAAGTGTGCCTCATGCCTCATAAAGCAGCTTACCCAGGCTACCTTCAAGAGTGGTCCCAGAGCTCCTCTGTATGAAACACTAACTTCCAAGTTCTATCCACGACCTCAAGGATCCAACTTTTGTGAGGTTCTACACACACTGAATTTACAGAACCAGCATCTAGAGCCAGAATATTCTTATTGCCTGATCGTCAACGTCAGTTTCTTACACAATTCCCTCAGTGGCCCTCAAGTTGTGTTCCAAGCTAACTTGGTGACACAATAATCTCCAAAGCCCCAGGGTTATCCTTCCAGTGCAGTGGGTTTTACTCTTGCTAAAAAAGGCAACAGTTCTTAAGGGTGTAAGCACCCAGCTCGGAGGGGCCTGGTGCTAGCAGGAAGTCAGGCTTAGAAAGGTATGCAGTGATGTGGTCCCAACATGTGAGTGAACTGCCATGAGAAGGCTGGGACCTCTCCTTCCCCAGAGGTCTTTACAAGACAAACTGCTACCTCCAGTGCCACTCAGTACTCTCCAAGAATAAGACACTGGACTTAAGACTCCCTGACTGCAAGCCCCAAGGTTCTAGAGTGATAGAAACAGGTGGCTTCATCGTGTTCCTTTCCTGGTGTGAGGAGTCACTACAACTTCATCTACCTGACAAGGAACAGTTGGGTCTCCACGAAGAGGTGTCACTGGTCAGAGGTGCCATTGGTGGCATCATCCTTTGCTTTTACCTTCAGCTGATGAGGTAGAGTTCTTTATTTGACACTCTTGTTATAATTAAAAATAAAATTCCTAATTATCTTTAGCTTAGTGTTAACATCAAGTAGGTTATTCTCAAAGGGCAGCCAAGCCTAAAGAGAAAGAAACCCGCACACACCTTCTATGTCACTCTTGTCTAGCAAGCTGTAGCATCCCCCAAAGTAGGGCAGCAGACTCCAAAGCAGAAACTGCCACAGCAGCAGAGGGGCCTGGCTGCTTTTGTGTGAAAAAACAGTGAGATGGAGGCCCCTCACACTGGGCTCTAAAAGCCAAGAGTAGTTCCCCATTGAGGTAAGAGACAAACCACTCCGACTCTGATGGATTAGACACACCCGAACCGCAAATGAAGGCAGACTGGAAAATCCAACTCTGCCTATACCTGTTCTAAGTAAGATTGTGTGACCCATTGAATTTTTTATCTCACACTGCAATTCTCTAGGTCAAGTATACTATTGCCAGTATTTTCCCTTGTCCCATCATGTTACCTTAGTAGAGATGTTACCTGAAGCAAACAAAGAAAACCCATGCTCTGAAGTGTGAAAGCTGTCTGGATGATTTTCAGCCCAGTGGTACAGTACAGCCACATGGCAGATCAACAGAAAGGCTCAGGGGCGTGGCTCTGGTCTCAGTGAAAGAGCATGGCCCTATGGGTCAAGAGACCCAGGCCCAGTGGCAGCCCTGACACTGAGTCTTTCTGTTACCAGGTTTGAACAAGTCATTTCTGGGCCTGTATCCTCAATGATAAAATGAGGGGGTTCCACTAAATGAGTTTTTCAGATCTCTGTAGACTAGGATGGTTACCCCAAATAAGAATCTAAAATCAAGTATGTGCCAAGGATGTACTCCAAAACACTCTCCTAGAGACTTTTGTTTTGTCTTTCTGAGACAGGGTTTCCCTTGTAGTGCCAGCTGGCCTGGAACTTGCTATGTAGACCAGGCTGGCCTCAATCTCGCAGAGATCTGCCTGCCTCTGTCTTCTGAGCACTGGGACTAAAGGTGTACGCCACCACGTCCGGCCTACAATCTTTAATTGTAATTAGGTAAAAGATACAAGGTCTGAATACTGGAAATGAGTACAAAATTATCACTACCTACAAAAGATGCTTAGTGGTCTGTGGGACAACCAAACTAAGCACATAAAAAGCATTTTCTAAAAGGTGAATCTAGGTGGCACACCTTTAATCCCAGCCCTCAGGAGGCAGAGACAGGTAGATCTCTGTGAGACCGAGGCCAGCCTGGTCCAGAGTGACTTCCAGGCAGGCTGGGACTAGGGAGACCCTGTCAAAAAAAAAAAAAAAAAGGCAAATCTATTAAATAAATCGCCTTTGTAAAACTATTAACATTTAGGGGGGTGTGTGTTCAATAATAATAAAATATGTTAGAAAATCTTTTCTTTGAAAAAGAGGTTTGAAAGATGGCTCAGTGGTTAAGAGCACTGGCTGTTCTTGCAGAGGACCCAAGTTTGGTTACCAGCATCCACATTGCAGCTAACAACCATCTATAACTCCAGTTCCAGGTGATTCAACGCTCATACACATAAAATAAATTTTAAAAAAGCACAATGGCCTGGTGGCACAGGTCTGCAATTCCAGCTACTCTGGAGACTGAGGCAGGAGAATCCCAAATTCAAAGCCTACCTGGGCTACCTAGTAAGAATTTGTCTTAAAGAGTAAAAAGAGGGATGGGGATGTAGCTCAGTGATAAGCTTACCTGCATGCATAAAATCCTGGGTTCAACCCCAGTCCCACATGGCGGCTACGAACCATCCTTGATTCCAGTTCTAGGGGAATCTGAAGTCCTCTTCTGACCTCCACGGCATTGCATGACATGGGTGCACTCATATACATGCAGACAATACACTCATACACATAAAATAAATTTTAAAAACTGAAAAAAAAAATTTCTAGACAAAAAGACATTTTTTATGACTTCACTGAACAAATACATCTTCTTCTAGATGAAATCAAAGGCTTATAATTGGGCCACGTGTGGTGGCAGAGGCTCCTCAGGAGGCAGAAGCAAGAGGATAGAGAAATCTAGGCCAGCCTTGAAGAATGCTTCTTTTGCAAGGGACCAGACAAAGTTTGGTTACCAGCACCCATACTGGAGGCTCATAACCTCCTGTAACTCCAGCTCCAGGGGATCCAATGCCCACTTCTGGTCTCTGTGGATACCTGCCACACACACACACACACACACACACACACACACACACACACACACACACAAATAATTAAAAATAAATATTTTTTAAAAGGGGGTTGGGGATATGGTTCAGTTGGTCAAGTCCTTGCCTAGCACACATAAAGAGCTGTATTCGATTCACATTACCATATACACTGACCAGATATGGTGGTACACACCTACAATCCCAACACTTGGGAGGTAGAGGCAGGAGGATCAGAAGTTCTAGGTCATCCATATTACATATTGAGTTTGAGACCAGCTGGGGCTACAAGACTGCCTCAAAAAAAAAAAAAAAAAAGATGGGGGTGGTTTTACAAATAAGTTTGAATTAATCTGCTGATTCAGTGTTAAACAAAATCATTTGAACATACAACAAAGAGCTTATCACACACAGACATGCAGGCACACACACAGGACAAATGAAGAGATACCAGCCTACCTAAAATACTTTTTTGCCAGGCATTTCACTATCTATCAGGCACTACGTTAAGCATTTTAATTGTCTCATTTGTTCATCACAGTACAAGTTAGATAATATTACTGTTCCAATTTTTAAAAGCCGAGGGTCATACAGAAAAGTAATCCACTCACAGAGCTAGTAAGGGGCTGAGCCACTATTTGAACCCCAACAATATTCCTCAGAGCTCCACTGTACTTATAGGTCAACAGAATAGAATAGGGAACTGAGAAAAAGACATTATGGCAATTTATAATTCAGATCATGGGAAATAATTAATACTTCCTTGGTTAGCTCAATACTTATGTCAAAATAAATTGCTGGTAGGTCAAAAGTTTAAATCAGGGGTAGGAAAGATGGCTCCTTGGTTAAGGGCACACACTGCTCTTGTGAGTTCGGTTCTCAACACTCACATCGGGTGGTTCACAATGACCTGCAACTCCAGTTCCAGGAGATCTGACATCCTATTCTGGCCTCCTTGGGCACCTACACACATGGTGCACATAAACTCACAAAAACATAATTTTTTTTAATGTTTTCAATAAAAATTTAAATAACTTTTTTTTGGGGGGGTCTTTTTGAGACGGTCTCCCTGTAGCCTCAGCTGGCCTGGAACTCACTGTGTAGACCAGGCTGGCCTTGAACTCACAGAGATCCACCTGCCTCTGCCTCCCAAGTGCTGGAACTAAAGGCATGCGCCACCATGCCCGGCCTTTTTTCAAATTTTTAAAGAATAGGAGTAAAGGAGCTGGAGAGATGGCTCAACTGTTAAGAGAACTGGCTGCCTTTGCACTTACATACATGCAAGCAATACACATAAAGTAATAATTTTTTTTATTTTTTTAAATAGGAAGAAAGAAGGCATAAACATTTCTCTATTTTATATAGAGAATATACCATTTAAAATATCTTGAATTGGGGTGGAGAGTTGGCTCAGTGGGTAAGAGCACTGGCTGCTCTTGCAGAGGACCAGGGTTCAATTCCCAGCACCCACACGGTGGCTAACAACTATCCCTAACTCCAGGTCCAGGGGAATCCAATGCTCTCTTCTGACCTCTGTGAGCATGTACAACATGGATGCACTTTCATACATGCAGGCAATACACAAACACACACAAGAAAAACAATAAAATATTTTAAAAAACTTTTTAAAGATCTTAGAATGATGATAGCCTGACAAGCAGGATACAAAATTCAGAATCCACTAAAAATTGTGGTAAATTTGACAACATAAAAATATCAACCTTGGGCTGGTAGGAGAGCTCAGTACATAAAGGTGTTTGCTGTCAAGCAAGCCTGAGTCCAATCCCCAGGTCCTGTGTGGTAGAAGGAAATAAATGACTTCCAAAAGATGTCCTCTGACTTCCACATGCACACACACACACACACACACAAATGTAATTTTAAAATGTAAACTTCTGAAACCATTTAAAAAACACACTTTTTTTTTTTTCTTCAGTCTTTTTGAGTCTGGAACTCGCTACATAGACCAGGCTGGCCTTGATCTCTCATAGACTGGCTTCCCTCTGGGTCCCAAGTACTGGGATTAAAGGCATGCGCCATCACACCCAGACAAAAAACTGTCAAATGGCAAAACGTCTTTCAATTTCCACAGAATTTCTAATAGATATAAAGAAAAAGACCATTGTTCAAATACAAATTGTGCGTGTGTGAGTTTATTCAAGGAACATATAGCAAAACCTAAAAGTACTGGCTGGAGAGATGACTCAGCAGTTAAGGACACTGGCTGTTCTTGCAGAGGACCTGGGTTCAGTTCCCAGCATCTTCTTGGTGGTTAACAACTATCTGTAACCCCAGTTCCAAGGGATCTAATGCCCTCTTCTGCCCTTCGCAGGCATTGCACACATGTGGTGCACTTACATACATGCAGACAAAACACATAAAATAAAAATACACTAATTTAAAAAAAAAAAACCTAAAAGTACTATTTTTCATTAATCATCCTGGCCAAAAAAAAAAAAGATGAGGTCAATATAGGAGCAGGGAAGGTGGAAGGCAATGTGACAATCTGTCAGAACTGTAGACACACAGACATTAAAAGAAGGCCCAGGGCTAGAAACAAACAAGTAACTATTACACACAAGAATGTTCACTGTAGCCTTACCTAGAATATCAGAACCTGAAAACCTAAATGCCCATCAACAAAATCTGGTTCAATAGATTTTAAGACCATTCATAGAAGTAAATGCTATAAAGTTGTGGCTTTTAAAATTATATATATAGATACATTAAGTAGCAAAGATGAAGCCCACTTGCATTTTTAAATGAAAAGAAATGGTACATATTTGCCCCAAAAATATATGGGAAACTACTAAAACTATTTTGTAATGGCTGCCTCTATGAATCCAGATGGGAAACGGAAGAGATGAGAACTTTTCTTTACTGTTTGAACATTCCTTTAATATAGGAATTTTTTTCCATACACATGTATAACTTCAACAACTCTTTTTAAATGAACCCAACAAAAGATCATCTCACATTGAACAATAAAGACACAAACCTCAAGATACTTTGTTTCAAACATTTACTGAACACAACACCATTTCTCCTTTTACACAGCAAGGTTGTTAGTTTCAAATTAGCTGAGTTATTAGGACTGTCAATGGCCATGAAATAAAAAATGATTCTACATGTCAAACTCAAACAGAAGACATCATGCAATATATAAATCACTGATTGACCTCTGGTGCAGTCAGCAAAGTTACTATGTTTATTAAAGTCACACAAATGGTTTGACAAAAGTGCACGATAGAATGACATCATTGGCTTGTTATAAAGCACAGTGAATTACTAGAATACAACATGTAGCTCTAGGGGAGGACTGCAGGATGGGGTGAATATTACAAAGGACAGGATCTTGCCACGAGGTTAAGGCCAGATTTTACTCCCCAGCTGTGTACCTCTGAGAAAAACTGGTTAAGAAAGCTGAAGGGTTTTCACCCTCCTCTTTTCTCCTCTACCAATTACTGAGCAACAACGAAAAAAAGCCATGCATACATTTCATAACACCTGAAAAAAATAGACACAAAACCCGTTGGCTTCTTCCTTGAAGCTTGCATCTTGTTCCTTCATTGTTCTGATGAGGTCATCCATCCCACGACTCATCCCTAAAGGAAAGCTGTCAACAATTTAGCAATATTCACCCCTGCACATACATCAAAGATACACTCCCTACAACCATCAAGCCACTGTCCCTTCCCTACACATTAACACAAAGGTACACTCCACAGATCTAGGACTAGAGACATTTACTTTACAGTTGTAAAAATTAATGTATCACCACTGTCAGTGTAGTATAGTTGGGAAGGGGGATGCTATGCACCCCAGCCCATCTGAAGGTTTGGGCGTGTCTGCCAAAAACATCTAGGAAAGCCCAAGAGAGTGGCTTTCAAGAGATGATCTCCAGAACAGAGCTGTGTGTTTTCAAAGCAGGAATGAGTACAGCTCAGAATCTGGACTGAAATCATTTCACAGAGCATAAGGTAGAAATGTAGATCACTCGCCCATTAATATTACAGTAAGTGTAGTCAGTGAGAAGAACAGCACACCCGTCTGTGCACCCACATCTGGCTACCTGAAAAAAAACACTTCAGATTTTTACACCAACTCTGCCCAACAAGGCCTTTACTCTCATCCACCTGCTCACTAGTGCAGCCATTGCTGCTTCTAAACCAGCGAGCTGTAACCCAAGGTCTGAAAACTCACTCAGGCTGCCCTATTCCAACAAGGAAGTTCTTCCACTTGAATTATCCAAAGTAGTCTGATTCCCAGAGTAGCTGCCTCAACTGCAGCAAAAACTGTTAACAGAGAACTGCTCTCTGGAATTGTTAATTTTCAGAAACATTTGTCAAATACAGTGTTGACATTTAGGGAATCGTTGCTCCCAAATCCTATTTTACTTCAAACAACACTTTCATACCCAAGTCTTCACAATTGCCATTAATCAATTACTAATAATAAACTAGCAAAACCAAAGCTTGCAGATGGTCCGCTTTTTGGTTTGTGTGTTTGAAGTCCCCACAGCAGAGAACCTTAAGATGGTTAGGCTGTGAGAGCAATTCAGGGTGGACTGTAAGAAGCTATGGTGTCAAGAGTCAGTTCCCCTTCACCAAGTGAGGGGATGGATTGCTGCCCAGCCTTGAGTTAGTCACTGAAATGCAAGTTCAATTCCACCAACTCTAGTAAAAAAAAATCCACTTCAGTTTCATGATTTGCAAATAAGAGCATCCTCCTGCATTCCCAGTTCATCCAGATTTATGTGAGAATTTAATATGACAGAGAAGTATTCCGGGAAAACCTCTAATGCTATCAAGGAAGAGTTACAGTTCAAAGCATAATTCTACCAATAAGAAACATCAATGACAAAAGGGGCTGCACAGGAAGTCACCCAGGGAGCTAGGCTGTGGAGCTCTCACCTGTCACATGTTTATTTTCCTTTTACAAAGTTTATGGTTTGGCTAAGCATATTTTAAAAGAATTCTACCAAAAACAATGTAAAAACCAGGCATGTAGATCACTTGTTTCAAGAACAGTTTTATACAGGTGTTTCACACAGCGCATTTGAATATTACAGAGACAGGAGTAGATCCTTAGCGAGAGACTGCACAACATACTACTGTAGTTTAAACAAAATCAAGTTACCGTTAGCACAGTTCAGTTAATTCTGTTGTCTTCAAGTTTTTTCTCCAACTGTCAGCTTTTAAATTAGCATTAGTTTACTTTTCCAGCATCCAGTCTTCCCTTCTTCAAAAACTGTCTTTAAACTTTGATGTCTGAATATGTACATAGAATCATTATCCTCATTTCATAAATAATGTCTAAAAACAGTGTTGGTCCTGGGTAGTGAAGGGGAAGAAATGTATTTTTACAACATGCAACATTATCTGGTATTTTTAAGTTTTGGTGTTTAAAACTCATATACGTTAAAAATGGAACCAACTGAATACCAAGTATCACAACTAACCCTCAGACTGTCCACATGCAGGCCTTATAGTCTGAAAAGGAAAGGCCTGACTGCACCATGGAAGAAGCTTGAGTTACTCACCTTGAGAAGCGCATTTTCTCTTCCAGGCCACTGAGAGCTGCCAGAGCAAGATTGCAATGTTCCCTTGATTCACACCAGAAGGGTCAAGGTCAGTAGTTTCCAAATTAGGGATCATTCCAATAACTCCTCATTTAAACCATCCTAAAAACCTTCCGTGTAAACTCTCAAGTTAGGAAATCAGAAATCTATTACCATGGAAGAATTCACCATCAAAACATTCCTAACAGAAGCAAGAAAACACACAAAGCAGCAACTTGCTTCATCCTTGGAGGAGGAACGTTTTCAAATCTCTCCTACCCTTGCCAGTATTTCACTTTGTGGGCGTCTCTATTTAAGGCCCTAGGTGCTGATTTTGGCGTGGTCGTTTCATACTGATCCAACTGCAACCTTTCTCGTGTATTTTACAAAGCAATATTCATGTGTAAAATGTTCATTGAGATTTTACAGGTTGTTTAAAGTTTGTATCTGACGTTGCATTGCTATAATGCTTTTCACTAAAGGAAAAAAAGCAGCTGCAGGTCTTCACTTACAGTACCATGCACTAAGGGTGGCTAAGGCATTCATTTGGCACTAGAGAAAAATGACAGGTGCAACTAATTTTACTTTCCATCTTTTCCAGCATCAGTAGAAACAGGTGTGTTCCTTTTACTTGATTCTGGACTGCTAAAGCGATAATCACAGAACACACTTTCGGTATGATAGTTGAAATGGTGCTGTTAAAAGAAAGCAAAAGATTAAAGACCTGTGTACCACACTCTGTAGTAGAAAACTTGCAGCTGTGAGAAATACCTTTCATGTGGCATTGAGAATCACTTTCCTCATCAAATACTTAATTTCCTATGCCATATTCCTGGTTTTCCTATGCCTTACAATGGACTAAGTAAAAACACATTAAAAATGTCCTTGTTCCTTTTCATCTTACATCTAACTAAGGAGAAAGACATGCCCTTTGGAAAAGTAGTCTTCAATTTTTAAAACCTACAACACAAGAAGAAAGGGCTACAAGGGGACAGAAATCAACTGTATAGCTATACTGTGACAACTTATTTCTTAAGAAAACACAGCATTATTTGGTCTGAGAACCAAATCAAATGCAGATAACTGCAATTTAGATACATCATTAAAAGAGACTTTGGAAGAATTCAAGCCTAAAGGCGGAGTCTAGCAATACTCTGAAAGGTTGGTTTAAGACTACCACTTAGAAGACACTATCCAGAATAATGCAGCAATTCCGATGGATTTAGCTTTATAAACGTGTGCACATCTTTTTTCAAATTACTAATCAGCAGTGAAGTGTTTCAAGTCCTCCTGATATTAAAATGGAACTGTACACTCCAAATGCATGGGAGTGAGAACCACCCACAGCAACTTGGCAAAGCACCTGCATCTCCCATGACTTTTAAGGTTCTGCTTTAGTTTCTTCTTCATGAAATCCTTGAAACTGCTGCATGGGTAACATGCTGGTATCAGCATAACAGAAATACTTTTATAGGCAGCTGCTTAAAACATCATCAACTTTAAATCACAAATGCCCCCATTACACAATACCTTACATTCGTCCCTAAAAAAAAAAAAAAAGAAAAAGAAAAGAAACAACTAATGTCCAAACACCTTACAGTTGTTAACAACTAAACAATGTCACTTTGTTTAGTGTGCTGAAATCAATTCCCATCTGAGGCAAGAAGACCAAAACAGAACTAAGGAAGCATGGGTTGAAAGGACAGTGGAAAGAAAAGTAGAATTTATGAACACATAATTCTATTGTCTGTGATTAAAGTCCTTTACTTTTTAGCACCACATTAAACAATTTTACATATCCAGTCACTTAGTGAAATCCAACAAACTCTTCAAGAGTTCTGGGGATCTGGTCTTGGTAGTTAATGTCATTAGCCCGAACTGCTCGGGCAGCCAGGCACTTGAGACTCATCTTCATTTGAGTTTTAAGTAGTATTTCAGATACCCCCGCTGTACTTTTGTCTAGAGGAGTCTTATTCTGCTTGTTGGTCATATCAGTGTGAGCGCCAGCTTCCACGAGGCTGATGATGATGGAGTGCAAGGTCAGGAAATCACTGATGGGCCTGTTATACTGAACAATAATGTGCAGAGCGCTATTCCCCTCATTGTCCACAGCATTCACCTCGGCACCACAGTCCAGCAGGAGCTTTGTGACAAGTGCATTTGGAAAGCTGCAGACATCATTGGTGTGGAAATCGTCAACTGGGGTATTAGAGTTGACAGCAAGATGAAGCAAGGTGAAGCCTTCCCGAGTTCTAGGGTCAAGATGAATCAGGTTGTAGATCTGCTTGTTAATTTTACACTGATCTTCTTCACTGCACTGTGTTTTGGTGGAGATGCACACCAAATACAGAAAGGTGTAGAGATTGCATTCATAGTTGTCCATGGCATTGTGGACGTCAGCATCTGAGATATTCTTCACTCTGTTCATACTCTGCTCTATTTCTAAGACACTGCATCTCAAAACGCACTCTATGTCAGGGGCCTTCACAGTTTCATTCAAGTGTATCATCTGCGAGAAAACTTGAGCAAAGCGCAGAAGATCCTTGTGGGTATTCCTATTACCTTTCTGCCTGAGGTGCAGAGCGTGAAGCCACAGCTTGATACACTGTTCAAATTCCATGTTATCTGCATAAACAGCCCCTCTGTAAATGATGGGGTGGGAAACATCAATATTGTCAGCACCTAAAATCCGTTCTCGAACTATGAGGCCCTCCATGTGAAGTGCATCTCTGTCCTGCCGAATGGACTCCAGTTCCCGAGGATTTCTACATTCAGTTCTGTTCCCGTAAGCATGGATGGGCGGGAGGACCTCCTTTTCAAGAACATTATCACCATCTTGAAACCTCTCCAACATGGCCAAATATAAATAGTGGTATGTCTTCATGATGTCATAGTTCTCACGGTCATTTGCAAAGGAGGCACCCAAGAGTTCCAAGGCTTCAATCCGACTTCTGCGATCACAATCGGCATGAGAGAGCAACAATTCAACAACATCAGCCTTACAGCTCTCGGCAGCTACCTTCAATGGTGTCATCCCATGGCCATTCACCACTATGGCGGCTCGCCATTTTATCAGCTCTTTGACGATGTCGATGTGCCCAGCTTCAGCTGCAAAGTGCAAGGCTGTGGCTCCACAGTGTGCTTTAGCATTAGGGTCAGCACGCTGTTCTAAGAGGTACCTGACCACATCAGTGTGCCCCTTATATGCGGCAATCATCAGGCAGGTGTTGTCATACTTGTTGGCAATGCTGATGTTAGCATTATTTTCCACCAAATATTTCACAATGTCCAGTCTACCATCAAAGCATGCTGCCCGTAGGGGAGTCGAGTTAGTTACTGTGGTATGGTTCACGTTGGCTCCATGGCTGACAAGAAGTTTAACGACTTCAAAGTGTCCAGCTCCTGCAGCACACCAAAGTGCAGTGGCTCCATCAATGACATACCTATACACATAAGAACAAACAGTCAGACAAAGACAAGGGGACCACAGACCCCAAAATGCTAAAAAGTAATCAGACAACAGGGCAAGGTCTCTAGCTCATTAAAAGGACATATCTATCTGCACTGACTTAGCCCTCACTCTCCAGAACATTAAAACATTTAGTGAAAATAAAAACAGATAATTTCAACAAAAAGCACTTTACCCAGTACTTAGTATGGACTCAAAAAATATTACTGTTATTTCTAAGGTACGGTTTTTTTTTAAAAATTAAAGAATCATCTACTCTGTACTAGCAACAATACATTTCAGAGAACACAGAGGAAGGGCTAGAAAGACGTCTAAGTGGGTAAAGCACTCGCTCTGCAAGTCAGGGTCTGAGTCTGAACCTCCAGAATGCATGAGGCCAGGAGGGGAGGAGCTGGGTGTCTGCAATCCAATTGCTCCTACTCTCAGATGGGCAAGGGAGACAGAAGCCCAGAAGCTCACGCACCAGCTAGCCCAGTGCAGCCAATAAAACAACCCTGTCTCAAAGTGGAAGGTGAGGACCAGTGCCCCAAGGTTGTCCTCTGATCTCCACACGTGGGCCATGGAGTGTACACATACACACACACAAAGATTTTAAAAAGGAAAGAAAAGCAAGCAAACACAGAGTCAATGTTGGAGGTCTGTACCACCTTCACTACATGGGATACACTAACTTTTCAGAGCACAGCATCCTCCAGGTGCCACAGTTTTCCCAGTTAGGAAAACAACTCCAGTCCCTACATAATAATGTGTTAGATACTGCTTTAGGGCGAAAAAAACTAAAAAGTAACAGAGAATTTTCCCTAAAATTACCTGAGCTAATTAATTAGTTTTCCCACCACAGCAATGAGAATGACACAATTACTGCTCCATTTGACAGACAGCTCAAAAGAAGTCAAACACACAGCGCGTATTATGACCGTCACACAACTGCCTGTCGTATTACAAGTTAGTGTTCTTTTGGGAAAAATATGGACTGGTAGGATACACAATGGAGACGGATTAAACTAATAATGCTCACTTCTGATTTAATGCATTGTAATAAATGTGCTTTTCTTAGTATGTTATGTCCCAAATTAAAAGTTTAAGATTTTTTTTTACTTTATGTATATGAGTGTTTCGCCTGCATGTATGTAAGTGCATCATATGTGTGCAATGCCTGGAAAGTCAGAGAGGGCGCCAGATCCCCGGGAACTGGAGCTACATACCATTGTCAGCCATCATATGGGTGCCAGGAACTGAACCCAAGTCCTATGCAAGAGTGGCCAATACTTTTAAACTGCTGAGCCATCTCTCCAGCCCCCCAAATTAAAAGTTTTTAAATTTCATGTGTGTGCATTGTGTCTTGTGTGCGCTCATGTATTGTGTGCATGTATATCCCCCTGTATGTTCCTGAAGCAAATCATTATGGGGAAAATACTAACAGCAGAAAACAACTAGCACTTGGAAATCTGACCAGGCATCTTTTCCAACAGTAGCACCTACCTACTGAGCATCTGGTACGTGCAAAGTCTCCAACTTACACAAAGCCAGACTCTTGAACAAGTCTAGTCTTTCTGACCTTTCCACTTCCAGTTTTTCTCCAATCTCTTTTTCCCAGTTTTTAATCCGACCAATGACGGTTTCATGAAATCTAAAACAGGCTTTTGTTAGATATTTAGAATTATTGTACTACAACCAGTAAGTATACACAACAATATTAAGAAAAAGGACCAACCAAAGAATTACTCACTAGAACAGCTAAGCAAACCAAAATTCTCACTAATGAGTTACTTGCTGCATAACCTTATGTTGTAATGAAGGTCAAATTACAGTTCCCACGAGGTGAAAGAGTCAACTCCCATGATGCTATGGCCTAAATGTCTCTCTCCAAAGCTCAGTGTTAACCAATAAGGCAAGGGCTCCTCCATTCCTCCTTGAAATTATAGCCCTTATCAGAGGCTTCTTGCAGTGGTGAACTGACTTGCCTGTCTGCCTTCCACTAAGTGGAAAGAGAACATGCCTCTCTGAAGGATGCAGCCTTCACCAAACAACCAAATCCCAAAACCTTCATCTGGGACTTTCCAGCTTCCAGAACTATGAGAAATAAATTTCCATTCTTTATAAGTTACCCAGTCTTGGGTATTTTGCTACAGCAACACAAAATGAACTAAGACATAGAAAGATCATAGCTTATCCCAGTTAATATCACAAAAACAATACCCTCTATCACTTTTGCTAAAAATGAAATGCACCTTGTAATAATTCAATCAATTACTTCTTCAGTTTCAAATAATGACACAAGATATTTATAAGAAAAAAACCTGCTGAGTATGGTGGCACACGCCTTTAGTCCCAGCACTCAGGAAGCAGAGGTAGGTGGATCTCTGTGAGTTCGAGGCCAGCCTGGTCTATATAGCAAGTTGCAGGCCAGCTGGGGCTACAGGGACACCCTGTCTCAAAAAGAAAGGAAAAAGAAAGAAAAGACTTTCTCACTAATAATGTCATCAATGGGGAGGATTATGGCTGACTAGAAGGCAGTTTGGAGGCACTAAAAATACCCTGTCTCTTGATATGGGTGACATCCACATGGATGGGAACTTAAGAGGAAAATACTTGACAACCTGTACACTTAAGAGTATTTAAGTATATGTAAGATGTATCTCAAAAAATTCCTAAGTCCTTTGAAGTTTCTTTTAAATTTTAATTATTACATTTCACTTATTTGTGTGTATGTGCACACAAGTACATGCATGCCACGTGTACATGTGGATTTCAGAAGACAACTTACAGGACTCAGTTCTCTCCCTCTACCATGTGGGTCCTGAGGATCCTCAGGCATGGCAGCAAGCATATTTACCTGCTAAGCCATCTTGCAGGCCCAAAATTTTCAGGAAGCATTTTAAAAATGCCATTAGGGATTTTTGGAGATTAAGATGGAGACATGCCCAGGGTACAACGGCCCCCAAGAGACTGGATGCATGTGCTGAACCCAGTGAGGAACCTTAGCACACAAGATGAATATTCCCCTGACCGTAGGTGTTTCTATAGTGAGCTCAAAATTCTGGACTTGGCAAGTAAGAAAGAAAAGAACTGGGAGTCAAGATGGTGCTGACACAGTCACAGACACTGACGCAATGGTGTTGGCAATGGCAACTCTTGGCACAAAGACTTAAAACATGACTCTGGGCCTCTTCATTTTATCAAGAATCTTGATGTTTCTATATTGATCTCAGAATTCTGAACTCAGGACTTTGCAAGTAAGACAGAAAATAACTGGAGAGCCAAGATGGCAGAACCACACCACAATGGGCAAAGCCTAGCCGGCCTGGCGACACCCAGAACCCATGGGTTGGCTGACCATCATCATCTAGTGACTATCAAGACCTGACTGCTGTCCTCAACAACATTAGGAATCTGAGAAGGCTACAAATTTCAGAAAATAAACTAGAAGACACTAGTATAAAACTGTCATATGAAGCCATGAAACCTTCTAACTGCCACTCAGACAATCTTGGAGTGGAGTCCTGTGAGCTGATTTCTGCCTGCTGTGAGGACCTGCTTTTACCCACAACAAAACCCTGAGGGGAATCAACTTGTTGGATCACAGTGATTGTGGGTGAGGCCTGAAAACGGCCAATGTGTAACTAACCTGTATGTACTAGGGTCTGTAAACAACTGACTTTGATGAGGAAACTCAAGTACATTTCTGATCACTGGAGAAGAGAAATCCCTACTTGACAATCCAAAGTAGTGTGTAAGAGAAACAGAAAACAAGTGTAAAAATCCCATTTCAAGAAACCTGGGCATATTCTGACCCAAAACCACATACAAAGGAGGAAAGGGAGTAGTAGGTCCCTACTTTGGCACATCTGTGTGAAAGAATTATAGATCACAGACTTTCTAATGAGATATGATTTCTCTGACACCTAGTTCAGATGTATAAAACAGATGGGGTTTTCCATTTGCAAATAGGAAGACATGAAATGGGGGCGGTGTAGAAGGGGTCTGAATATAATCAAAATACATCATATGAAATTCATGAATCAACAAAAATGTTTCTTAAACTTAAAAAATTGCAATTTGGAGGCTGAGTGTTCAGTGATAGAGCACTTACCTTGCATGTGCAATGCCCTGGATTGGATCCCCAGCACCAGACAAAAATACAAAAGACAAAACAACAGAAAAAAACCTAAGAAATTAGTCAAAGCCAGGCATGGTGGTACATACCTGTAATCCTAGTACTCAGGAGTCTGAGGCAAGAGGATTGCCTGTTTGAGACCCTGAGCTACACAGCAAGTTCTAGACCAGCCTAGACACACACACACACACACACACACACACACACGCACACACATCATCATCATCATCATCATCATCATCAAAAGAAGGGGAAAAATAATAATAAATTTTTATTTATTTTTATCTTATGTGTATGAGTGTTTTATTTGCATGTATGTAGGTGCACCACATACAGGTGATGCACACAGAGGCCAGAAGAGGGCATCAAATCCCCTGGAACCAGAGTTACAGATGGTTGTTAGATGCCACATGGGTGCTAGGAACTGAACCTGGGTCCTCCTCAAGAACAGTGCTCTTAATCACTGAGTCACCTCTTCAGCCCCAAGTAAAATTTAGACCAATGGTTTTTGAGACAAGGTTTCCCTGTAGCTGCTGCTGGCCTGGATTCTGTAACAGAGACCAGGCTGGCCTCAAACTCAGAGAGATCCGCCTGCCTCTGCCTCCCAAGTGCTGGGATTAAAGGCGTGCGCCAGATGTTTTACTAACAGTTGTCTAATTAAAATTCACTGAGTACATTTTCATTTTCACCATATATACAAATTCAATGAAAAATCTTTTACTGTCAAAACATGCCATTTGTGGGGCTGGAGAGATGGCTCAGCTGTTAAGAGCACTGGCTGCTCTTGTAGAGGACCTGGATTCGGTTCCCAGCACCCACATGGTGGCTCCTATTTGTAACTCCAGTTCCAAGGGATC